ACAAATGACCCAACAATAATAGAAGTAATTGTACATATAGACAAAAATATGACGCAAAGAATGCAAAAAGTTAATAACAGTTGACTCTCACTGGCGGGTAGACAGATGTTCACCATATTATTCTTTCAATCATTTTGTGTGTATGAAATTTTTCACAATAAAAAGTTGCAAGGGGGAAGAACAGTCATTTTCATTTAAACATGTATGTATACCGCTGCCTGAACCAAACTGGTACAGAGAAAATATTGCTTCACATGGAGATTGAATATTTCATTTTCCAGGAGCAGTATGCTTCAGAGAATCAATTTTCCACCGCTGACCCAGACAAATTATGGCAGCCCTTCTGGCCAAGACCACAGGGAACAGCTGATTGACACACACCCCCTGAATTAGGGCAAGGGTGTTGAGATCCCCAGAGGGTAATCTGCGCTGACCAGCGAGTTTACAAGGCAACCTGTGCCCCTGGAAAAATAAGGGTTGAGAACCACAGGGGCCTTCCAGCCTGGAACCTTCACGGCAGACAAATCCTGCGACTTCACCAAGCTCTGTTCTCTGCAAGCAGTATATCAAGGTATGACACGAACTTAAAGATAAATTAAACAAACTTAAACCATCAACTCTGCTCATTCACCCACTAAAGATGGATTTCTGTCTTTGCTTAACAGACTACCAGATTCAATTTTAAGCAAAAAAATCTGAGATGCTACCCCAAGTATTCAAATTAAACCTAGTAACTAAGTACTGCCATTGTATAAGAAATTTTAGAGAGAAAAATCTGTAAGCACTCGATGGAGAGATACCTAAAGTATTAAAAATAAGACTCAGACCCATGAAACAACACAGCGGGATGTTTCCTACCTACAAAGAGAGGCTTTTTGTTTTGGGGGTCCAAATCTCAACGGTTCTGGGCACGGGTTCACTACTAAGTCAGAGTGTAAACCAGCCATCCATGACTCGCTGCAGAATCTGATATTCTTTTTTAATTGGACCAAACTGAAACTAAGCAGTAAGCATTGAATTGCGCACTGAATTGCAAGTGGCCTAATGCAATGAAAGACTCCACTTCAGGCGCACCTGTTGTTTTCTGTCCTTTTATTTTTATCATTTCTTTTTCTCCCTCATTCAATTCTTTATCTATCTACGTGTGTATGCGTATATGTGTGCGTACATATGTGTATATATATGTGTATATATAATACAAAATTATATATTTATATATTGACATATGCGATACTATATTATATCATAATATATACATATTTGTTGTTTTCCCCCGTTCTTTCTCTCCTGTCTTTCCCCTTCCGTTCCCAACTCCTCCAGCCCCACCAGGGCACCCAAAGGTACTGTTATCCCCGGGTTAAACTCCCGGCCGTGGAGCTATAAGGCATCCTGATGTGGCTCATAAAGCCTGATCGAACCAGGCCCCAGGCTGGAACAGTTACAGGAAGAACGGTTCACTTTCCTTCAACCAAAGAACAATTACCCCGTTTATGGGGTATGAGGGCCCTTTCCCTTCTAGTTCCGGCCGCCTGCCTTTGATCCTTCACCAGTCATTCAGACCTCTCTTTAAGAGAAGCAGGAGACCATGACACCAAAATCTCATTCTTGCTTCATGTTGTCCCAAGAAGAGACATGCCACCGAAGGGTTGAAAACCTCAATGAGTTTGGGGAATATCTGTGGACTTCACTTACTCAACAAAGTCCTGAATGCTGTTCAATGCCCCCATTTCCGGATTCCTTCAAAAGTTTCTGGTCTATCTATAAGCACTAAGCTAGGACTGGAAGGAAACACAAAAAAATTTGGAAAAAAAAAATGTTCTTCCCCAAAGAGATGTGAGCACATTACGCTTGTTTACCAAAATTTACTGTCTATGAAAACACACTCCCATGAGTGAAGCATTAATTAACTATGGGCCCGCTATCTCCAGGACGCCTGAATGAACCTGCTTCAAAAACTCTGCAGAGGATGGATCTCTGGTAATACTCCAGCCAAAAGGTCCTCTGCCGCGTCCAGGCCAGACAGGCCCCACAGGGGAATTGGGAAGAAGGCTCAGGAATCAGGGCCCACAGATGAAAACAGTCTGGGTGGGAGGATGCTCACAGAGAAACACACGCCCTGGGCAGCCAGGTAACCATTTGGAAGCACTGGCCGATGTTTAACTACTTGCAGCCTCTAGGAGTGATGTGAGACCTTTCCTGAAGCTCATCCTCTCAACGCCTCAATTTCTTCATCTGTCAAATGGAGGTAATAACAGTACGCCCCCTCAGTCGTAGGATCTATAATGATTAAATGAGTTAGTACACATAAAGTGCTTAGAACAGGGCCTGGCACATGGTGAGCACTGCATAAATGCTGGCTAATTGCTATTATTATAGGCTTGAAGCATGCCGACAGAGGAGCCTGCCAAAGACAGCTTACCTTCTTTAATCCCCACCAACAGACTGACTACTAACCAGCTGGAAATACCCACGTCTCAATTCTTTGGTTTCCTGTTTAAGCTCCAGGATCTCTGGAGTGGTCTCAGCTAAGACCAAGCAAGCAAGACTCCTTTCCCTAGCAACTAGATTCAGACATAAAATTGCAGTACGGCAACATCATATGATTAAGATGGAAACTGACACAGGATTAAAATGGAAATCTATCTGACATGCACTTCAGGGCCCACACGTTTTCAGTGTGTAAGTTCCACAGCGTCTGACACACGTCCCTAACTCTGAAATCCTGTGAACCTCAAAAACCAACCTTCTGGTTGAAGACACACAAAATTACCCTACACGTTAGAAAGACATAAATGCAACGACCTTCAACAAAGTACGTGGCCCAAGAGTATGTGGCATAAACAAGTAACTGGCCACTGCCACACCCGGGTGCCACAATGAGTCAGTTCTTCAGAACGGGCAGATCCACTCTCCTGCTCTGAGGCCGTGCCACACCTGGCACACCATGTTGACAATACTTACGCATTACAATAGGGCTTCTTTTCATAGCCTTTGTAGTTCTTCATGTTGAGAGCCATCTTGCAGACTTCACAATGGAAACATCCTTTATGCCAATACTGCAGAAAACAAATATTTAAAATTTGAGTACAATGTCAGTTGTACTAAGATGGGTCCAGAAAGGAGACATTTTTAGTGCATCACAGTATTTGAAAATCCTACAACAAAATGATTGTAGGTAACCATGGATGTGTTTGTTAACTGTCAGTTAAGTAAACAAAGCAGGCAGCTATGAAAATTGAGTTTTAAATGACTACCCACTACAACCTAGAGACTCAGATGGAAGAAGTGTCAAGGCTCTGTCCATATCGCACTTCCAGGAGCAGCCAGAATGGAATTCTGAGCTTGGTTAATGGAGAAACGGAGCCTGTGAAGTGGCTTCAAAAGGAAAACGAATTCAGTTCAAAGTGCCTAAACATTGTGTTTGCAGGATCTTGATAAATGTGTCCACCGGAAGTCAGGCAACCCGAGGTCGCAGGAGGCCGACTATGTAAGTACCCTGCCCCCCCCCCACCCCTGTCCAGGTTCCACTAAATTGCGGGAAAGGTGGACTCTGTCCGGGATGGCTGTTAGGATGACGATGTGTTCTCAGGAGGCATTTGTATCACCACACGCAAATTTCACAGGGACTGCCTCCAGCTAGTCTCAATTGTCAGTCACTCAGGACAGCGCCGGGTCTCTCTCCCAAGCTGTTCAACTCCGTCCACGCCCGGGAAGGGCAGGGAGCAGGGATGCAGGGGCCGGGACAGAGCCACTTCCTCTGGACTTCCCCCGACCGAGTGGATTCGCCCCCCGGGGCCCCGCTCGCCGCGCTGCGCCCGGCTCTCGGCTCTCGGGCGAGGATTATTCCTAGCAATGCGGCAGCGGCCGCCCCATGACATGTTAATTACTATTTGCCTCTCCACCTTGCCGCCGTCATGGGAGGCGCTGGGGCGGGGGTGAGGTGGGGATGCGCGGAGATCCCTGGGGTGGGGGGTGCGATGCAGTGAGGGGCAGGAGTGAAGGTGGTAGGGGGGCGCGACTCGCCGAATTGCCCCTGGGGGCCCAGCCAGGGCTCTCGGGCCCCGGGCCCCTCTCCGCCGTGCGCCCTCCGCAGCAGCTCTGCCGATGCCGGCGCAGCCCCGCACCCTCTCCGTCCGCACCCCGACAAAAGCCTTTCCCAGTTCCAACATCCCCGTCGCCGAGCGTCCTGACACTCCTGCGGGCGTTTTCCTTCGCGTGCCTTCGCCCGGTGCCAAGACGCACACAATCCCACTCATCTCTTTCCATCCCAGATGCCAAAACTTCTCGAAGCAGGTGCAGCCCGCCGCCCGGCAGGTCCGGGCTGGCCCGGCGCCCCCTCGCTCACCTTATCCAGACAGTTGACTTTCTCCGTGGGATACACGACTTTTCCGCAGCGGGCGCACTGGGGGTTCATTGTCGCGGCTCCCGGGGGCGACGGCTGTGCGGCGGCGGCGACGGCTGGGGGCTCCGAGGAGCCGCTGTGACATCCCCCGGCGAGCCCTGCACCGCCTCCGGGCAGGCGGGAGGGCTGCGGGCGGCCGGGCGCCGGGGTCGGGAGTCGGCGCCGGGCCGCAGGCGAGCCGGCGGCGGGGGCGCAGGCAGGGCGGCGGGGGCGCGGGCGGGGGCGCGGCGGGGCCTGGCGCCCGGGGGCGGCCGCGCTCTCGGGCTCGGCTCCGGCTCGGGCTCCGCGCCGCTCGCTCTGCGTCGCTCGCACTCCAGGTACCGGTGACTCACGCAGGCATTCGCTCCCGCCCCTCCCGCTCCCTCGCTCCCCCGCCTCGCCGCCGCCGCCGCCGCCGCGCAGGCCAAACCCACCGGCGCGCCCGGACCAGAGTGGCAGGGAACGAGCACGTCGGGCACCCGGGGAGGGAGGGCGAGGCGGGGGAAGGGGGAGGGCAGAGGCCCGGAAAGCTCCGCAGACAGCCGCCGGCTGCGACTGGCAGGCCCGGGAGCGAGCCTGGTGCTGCAGCCGCAGCCGGGGGCGGCCAGGTGGGCGGCGGAGGGGGAGGAAATTGATGGGGGGGGCAGAGAAGGGGGGGACGGGGAGGGTTCAAACCCGCGCACTCCCTGCCCTTTCTCCTCCCTCTCCTGCTCCAGCGGGTGCACCACCTCCCGCCCCCGCTGATGCTCCCAGTACCCAAAGGGTGCGGAGAGCGCGGGGCGGGGGTGCGCACGCCCTCCTCCTTCAGCCCAGGACCGCGGGCAGCGGCGCATCCACGCCCCACGCAGAGCCCAGTACCGGGGCGGAGGTTGTCCCGGCCGCGCTCAATGACGCGCTGGGGTCCAGGAGCTGGAGACCCGAGGGGCACCCGGAGACTCACATCCCCGCGGCGCCGGGCCCACTCCCACGGGCCTCCTCTAGGAAAAAGCGTCCCCCGCGTGCCTGCGTGAAGTCCTTGGACCCTGGGTGCGGAAGAGACTCGTTCTCACTGGCTCCCAACCCCTAGACTTTTTGTATCTATTCCTGCAGAACGACTGGTCATTTTAGGCCCCAATCAAGCCTTTGTGGATTAATCAGTGGTCATGGTTCATTTTGCTGTGTGTGTACACTGCAATATATGGCATTTGCAAACGCCACAAGATCTACGAAAAGTTCTTCACCTGCCTTAAGGGAAGCAATTAAAAAGTCATGATCCTAGCCAGAAAGGCCAGAAAATCAAGCTGAAGGCTGACGGTAGGATAGAACCAAACGGAATAGGGATCGGTTTTCAGTTTTAATAAGATCTCAGGTTACTGGACTCGCTTTGTAAAAGGCAGCAAAATGGAGCCACGCTGCGTGAGTTCAAAGCTCAGCCCTGCCGTTTGCTAGTCATGTGACTTTGTACAACTACTTAGCTTCTCTCTGCCTCAATTTTGTAGTCTACAAAATGGGGATAACACAGCACTACAAACCACTCCTGCCCTCCTAGTGTGAGGGTTAAGTGAGTCAGCAGGTCTGCCTGGCTCCGGGGAGCCCTACCTACCTAAGTGTCAGCTAGGATTACCATACGTTGGTTCTAACAAATAAACAAACACATCCCGTTGCTAACACACAGATACAGACCCCGTAATGCCACAAAGCAAGTACTATGACAGATATTTCTTTTTAAAAAAATCATAGCTGCCGCCTTTCGTGAAAAAAGAAAACTGTTGATTTCTGAGCCTCTTAGGCAAGCTACTCTGATGAAATATCATTCCTAATGATGCTGTGCTGTTCGACTTTTCAAAAGAGATGATTTCTTAAAAGGGATTCACCAGCCCAACAGGTTTTGAACCACTCATTGCCCTGCTCACAGGTCCACCTCAAAAGTGAATAAAACAGTAATTTGCTGTCAGAGAGAGTCAGTTGTCATCTAAAAACACCCCAGAGCTGATTTGAAATGCCTGAAACGGTGGATGAATTTGGAGGATTTATTGCTAAGTGAAATAAGCCGGAGAGAGGAAGACAAATACTGCATGGAATGACTTATATGTGGAATCTTAAAAAAAAATAAAAAGTTGAGCTTATGAAAACAGAGAGGTAAAAAGGGGTTGCTGGGGGCTGGGGGTGGGGGAAATGGGAAGAGGTGGGTAAAACAGGACAAACTTTCAGCTATAAGATTAAAGAAGCTCTGAGGTTGTAATGTATAACATGGTGACCGTAGTTGACAACACTGTATTGTATAATTGAAATTTGCTAAGAGAGTAGAACTTAAATGTTCTCACCAAAAAAAAAAAAGGTAAATATGACAGACGTTAACCTGAGGGGGTGAAATCCTTTCACAATCTGTATGTGTACCAAACCATCATGTTGCACACACTTTAAATATCTTACAATTTTATTTGTCAATTAGACCTTAAGAAAGGTGGGGGTTGGGAGGAGACCTACATTGGATATTTATTTTTTTAAAAAAATGAGAAAAGAATATTTATATGATCACCTGAAAGGTGATAACTTTTAGTATTTGGATTTTCATAACTGTAGTTCATAAAATATATTTAATAATCCTCTTCTCTTTTTTTAATTTTGAGGAAGAATGATGGTGATATGTGACATTTATAGCTGATTTATCAGATCTCCGAACTATGAATTGTATGATTTCTTAGTCAACCAGCACCAATCATGTGGTAGGTATTAATTAGATGTTTGTTGGAAAAAAAAAAGGATGAATAAAACGAATGTATTAAAATTGGAATTAACTAAGATGTCTTATTCTCTCAAAAATCAACAAGGAACACGCAGAGTTATATTTTCCTCTCGTCTCTGTTTCTCTTACTATTTTCATTTTCTGCATTAAGCCAGTTTCTAAGTTGTTTAGTGCCATTTTACTGATGTAAGAAGAATTTTAATACCATCTGTGTTAAAAGGACTTCTTTATTTCAAAATTCAAAGTACTATCAACAGAGAATTGGCAGAAACCCGTCATCTGCTCCGGCCTTCCTCCTTCAGGCAGATGAATGATTTAATTATCCACCAGGGAGACCTTTTGCCCCTTTCATGTCTTTTTCACTTGACTGGTCAAGAAATTGCTCCTTATGGTAACTATACCCCAATGTCTCTGCTTTAATTAAATCCTTTCTGCTGGCTTGGACATCCACAGATATAAGGAAAACCTGAGCATGACCCTCATGAAAACATTTATATACTTATAAAATTAAATTTTTTCTTTAGCTAAAATTTTCAAATCTGTTTACTTTTTTCTCTGGAGCCTTTTTATATAGAATCTATTAAAGACCTTATCACTTTTATTATTTAAGCTACCTAAATTGAACTCCAAATGAAGTGCTCTCAAGAGCAATTAATATCGCAAAAGGCCAAATAGTGGCTTGGCCAAACATGGGACGAAGATTGTGGTAGATTGTGTTATTAGTTCAAGATTTTTTGTTCTCTTCCACCGTGGCAACACTTCCTCTAGGCAGTGTATTTCCCCACTGCAGTGACTCTCAGCATGATAGTGTGACTTCCTTTGGCCATTGGAATGCCAGTGGACATGGCATATGTCATATGGGAGCAGAAGCTTTAAGGCACTTGCATAGTATGCTTCTGTTCTCCCACCCGCTTGAGCTCGGGCACACAGCCATGAGAAGAGTGTGTCCCAGGGAGTAGCTGCTGCTTTGACTTTTGTCCAAGAACGAGAAGACCTGTCTAGCCAGTAGAGGCCAACTGAATTCAATAAGCCCTGCCACACCCAGCAGAGCCACAGCCAGCCCACAACCTTCACATAATGGGAGTGAGAAATAATTGCTGTAAGCCACTGAAATATGGGGGGTTTGTTTGTTACAGCAGCAAAAGCTGACTAATACACAAATGATGAAAACTGACAAGAAAGGCTTTCTACTTCAACAAGGAACTAATAGATTTATATACAAGATTCAGGATGTGGGGTTTCTTTTATTTTTCTTAAAGGCATACATTAAAAGTGTAGCGGCCAAAAAAAGCGTAACTCTTATTATTAATTAAGTAGCCATACTTTCATTTTACAAAGCTTTGTCATGTGCCTTCTATTTGTCAGACAGTGTGTAAAATTGTGTACATTTTTGCCAGTTGGCTCAAATTCACCATGAAGGCCAGTTTCCCAGCCAACAACTTTTGGAGGGAAAACCAAAAGATAATGGTAATTTTAGCTCACAGTTTCATTTAATAGCTGCATATGAACCTTAGCCTAATGAAGCATTTCTCCAAAGATTTTATGCACTTTAGAGGAATTCTCATTTACCATTATAGTACCACTAGAAGTCAATGAGAAATGTAAAATAAAAACATTAAGGGAAGTTCAAGATTCAGAAGCTGTTATAGAGACAACTACTTTCATTCATCCTTCAATATACAATTGTTGGTAGGCAAGATGGTAGGTACAAGGGGATGCAATGGGAAATAAGGCATGATCTCTGCTTATGATAAAATCTAATGGGACAGATAAGTAAGCAACAAATTACAATACAATGTGGTAAATGCTCTAAAATAAAGCTCTGCCCTGGACACTGTGGAAGAACAGAGGAAAACTTCTAATTCAGCTAGAAAGTCAGAAAAGGCTACTTTGAAGAAGCAGTCACTACACCTCTCACCAGGAGTAGGAACTAGCTGGGGCCCCTCCCTCAGGAATACAAGGCCCCCTAAAATGAGGAGTTTAGGGTGATTACCCTATTTTTCCCTGGTTTAGGGATTATTATGCTCATACATACATACTGAAAATTTATTTACATCACTTGAATGTTCCCTCCCAACGTAGCATAGCAACAAACTTCAAATAATGATGAATTTTTTTTCTTTTTTTTCACAGTTTTATTGAGATATAATTGACATACAGCACTGTATCAGTGTAAGGTGTACAGCATAATGACTTGACTTACATATATTGTGAAATGATTTCTTGACAGAAATATTTCTTTATAGAGGACACATCTCACCAAAATAAACCCCAGCAAATTTGCAATTCACCAATATATTTGTAAATATCAACTCCTAATTGTAAATTTGACCCAAAACCTTTCAGGATTTGGAAAGAGGGAAAAGAAAGGCAGAAGGAGCAGCAGCACCTTGTTTTGGTCCTTACAGGACTGAGCACCCCCCCCCCCCCCCCACCAAGATGAAGGACAAGACAGAACATCGGTGGTAGGCAGAACAGTGGCCCCCCAAAGATGATGTCCACATCCTAATAACCCAGAACCTGTGAATCTATCACCTTACGTGGCAAAAGGGATTTTGCAGATGTGATTGAGATAAGGCTCTTAAGATGGAGAGATTATCCTAGATTACCCCAGTGGGCCAACGTAATCACAAAAACCTTTATAAGAGGGAGGCAGGAGGGTCAGAATCAGAAAAGGTGTGACCACGGAAGCAGAGGTCAGACAGAGATTTGAACATGCTACACTGCTGGCCTAGAAGATGGGGGAAGGGACCACAAGGCAAAGAATGTAGGCAGCCTCGAGAAGCTGGAAAAGGCAAGGAAGAAGATTCTTTCCTAGAACCTCCAGAAGGAACACAGCCCTGCCAATATCTTGATTTTAGGACTTCTGACCTTCTGAACTGTAAGGTGATAAATTTGTGTCGTTTTTAGCCAAGAAGTGTGTGTTGTTACAGCAGAAATAGGAAACTAATCCCCTTCAATGGGTGAATTCTGTTCTCTTTAGGACCACAGTGAGTTCCAGCACGTCTAAAAGAAGCAGTTGGAAGTCAAGATGGCTATGATTCTTCATCATTGTTGTCTCCAAGGAAAGATCCTAAAGCAAAGTGGTGAAAAGCACCAAATGCCTTCATCCTCTTTCCCCCAGTCCTAATAAAAGGAATTATTTTACTTGAGGTCTTCGGATAAATGCCTCACTGCTCCATTTAGCTTTTCACATGTAGCTACAAATGTTATAGGTAGTTCACAAAGTCAACATATTTCTCTCTGAACCTTCCTCTCCTCCTCTGAGAGTAACTCGATGAGTAATAGACCCCTCATCCCAGCCAGAACCCTAAAAATCAACCCAGACTCCTTCCTCTCTCCCTAACAAACCTTGTCCAGTTACCCAATCCCGTTGACTTTATCTCCAAAAGAGCTCACGAATCTGTCTCCATACCCACTGCCGCTGCCCTAGGCTTGGCGATTCATCATGTCTTCCTCAGATTGTTCCATAACAACCCTCTAAGAAATCTCATCATCATACAAGATGTGGAGGGAGGTAGGACTTCACTCTCCCAGACAGGACTTAGAGATGTGGTAGACAGGAAATCTCTCTCTCTGGGCCTGCGACCCCCACACTGCATGATTAAAAAAAAAATTAATTCACGTAAAGCGCCAAACACAACACCTAGCATCCAGTAAGAACTTAGTAAATATTTGTTTGATCATTCAATGACTAGTGCAAAAACTAAATAAAATTGAACTCCTTGATACATTTTAATACAAATCAGATGAGAGGTGGCAAGTATGATGATAGTTATTACCCTTTTCATGTATTTCAAGACTGCTTTCTGAGTCACCTGCCAAACTTGATAAATATCAAGCTATAAAAATAAAACCTGCATTAAAAAATACTTTGCTTAATATAGTCACATGAGAAAAAAGTCATATGTTATTAGGATTATACCTGGCCTCTAATACCTGCTATGAACTGAATTATGTCCCCCCCAAAATTCATATTTTGAAGCCCTAACTCTCAGGGTGATGGTTTTTGGAGATGGGGTCTTTCGGAGATAATTAGGTTTAGATGAGGTCATGAGGGTGGGGCCCTCATGATGGGATTAGTGCCTTTAGAAGAAGAGACACCAGAGCGCTCTGTCTCTCTCTCTCTCTCTCTCTCTCTCTCTCTCTCTCTCTCTCTCTCTCTCTCTCTCTCTCTCTCTGTGCCATATGAGGACACAGCAAGAAGGCAGCCATCTACCTGCCAGGAAGACAGTACTCACCAGAACCCAACCATGATAACATGCCAATTTCAGTCTTCCAGCCTCCAGAACTGTGATAAAATACATTTCTATTGTTTAAGCCACCCAGTCTATGGTATTTTGTTATGGCAGCCTGAGCTAACTAATATAGTACCTCAACATGGCTTCTAGTCAATTAGGGACTAGATCACGTTCTCAGCAGGTGGGTGAAATGGGTGAAGGTGGTCAAAAGGTACAAACTTCCAGTTATAAAACAAATGTCATGAGGATGTCATGTACAGCATGGTGACTACTGGTAATGATACTGTGTTGCATATTTGGAAGTTGCTAAAAGAGTAAATCTTAAAAGTTCTCATCACAAGAAAAAAAATTTTGTAACTGTGTGTGGTGATGGATGTTAACCAGACTTATTGTGGTGATCATTTCACAATATATACAAATATCATCATTATGCTGTACACCTGAAACTAATGTAATGTTACATGCTAATTACATCTCGATAAAAAAATTAAAAGGTTGTTTTCTCCCCTGAAAAAAGATTAATTAATAGATTAAGAACTAGATAAAGGAAAATGTTCTTCTTGCCCAATAAAAATAGTGATAGGAAAAAAAATGTTTTTTTTAATTCCTTGTCATAAGTTCTCATGCTTTTTACACCAAAGCTCTGACTCATTAATTAGCAACAGTTTTAAACGTCAAAGGAAAGTGGAATTCTAACCTGCTTGGTAAGAATTGCAATTATGTTCAGTGACAAATTAAGGGCTCATCCTCCTCTTAATATACACAAAAATGAAAAAAAAAATTAATCATTTTAAAGAGTAATATCAAATTATATGGTTTAGGAGTAGTCATTGAAGGGTTGTTTTAGGTATTATTAAAAAAAAAGCTAGGGTTAGAATAGGTTCATTAAAATTCTGTGTGAACCTAACAGAAAGGTGGGAGGGGAAGGTCGACCTAACGCTCAGAGCTATTTTAGGGAGAAAAAGACATTAACTCTAAAAATTATGCAAAATGAAGGTAGTGTTTCCTTTACACTCTGGTTGCAAGAGACAGAGAGCCACTCCAGTGCTTTCAGAAAAAGGAGACTCACAGAGACGTTCCCCATATGCAGGAACCCAGGAGAAGATGAACGACCCAGCTTCAATAAAGAAGGAAACTTTGTAAAGCCTCAAGAAAAAAAATTGGATCTATGATAGAATCAATTCAAGGATCTTCACTTTAGTGACTTGTCGCAGTGGTCTGAATGTTTGTGTTTCCCCAAAATTCCTATGTTGAAATCCTAACCCCCCACGTGATGGCATTTGGAGGCGGAGCCTTTGGGAGGTGATCAGGTCTTGAGGGTAGGGCCCTCGCGAATAGGAATTGTGCCCTTGTAAAAGAGACCCCAAAGAGATATCACATCCTTTCCACCATGTGAGAACACAGCAAGAAGGTGCCATCCATGAACCGGAAGGAGGGCCCTCACCAGCCATTGAATCTGCCAGTGCCTTCATCTTAGACTTCCCAGCCCTCAGAACTGTGAGAAAGAAATTTCTGTTGTTTATAAGCCACCCAGTCTGTGGTGTTTCTGTTATAGCAGCCCAGGAGGACTAAGATACCTGTCATTAAGATAATTCAGCTGACTTCCACATGTCTGCTTCCCTCTGTCACTACCAACTTGCTTGTTCTCACCCTCATCTGTCTGTCTTACCTGCTTCTCCACACGTGGCTTTCCCTCCACAGGTCCTGCTTTCTCAGGATGTCTTCCTTATAGATTTGGCTGGCCATCGCCACTCATGCCCCCAGTGCATCTTCTAGTGCTTTTCATCTTCACCTCCCAGAAATAACAGCCTTATTCTTTTTCCCTATTTCCAGTTCAGAAGAACATGCTGATCAGCCCAGCTCATCTCTTCACTTCTCTGGGTCATTGGTCCACCTCTTGGTTGTCCCAGAGTCAGGTCTAAGCAGCTCAGGAGGAAGTGAGGAGGGGCCCAGACAAGATCAGGAGCACAGGGACCCACGCTTCAGCAGAGGCTGAGGTCAGGTAGGCATGGAATGGCCTCACCCATCCAGAATACAAAGGGAAGCTCAAGACAAAAATGAGAGAAGGGCTAGGCTCGTTTTTAAAATCTGGATATCATTATAGGCCAATAACTGACCACAGATAAGATGTGGTGGCAGGGTTGTTGGTTTTTTCCTTTTAAATTAAAATAAATTGGCAAAAGTATGTATATTCTTGTCTGTAAGACATACTAATTCCATTTCTAAAAAACAAAAGTAAATAAGAACGAAGAAGTCATAATGGCCTAAAAGAAGGCTCTGAGCCCTTAGCAGTTGGAAAATGGCAAGTTCTAACAAGCATTCGAAGATCCGTACATGTGCTATCCCGTAGAAATATCGCAAGAGCCACAAATGTGAGCCACATGTGTAATTTCCAATTTTCTGGCAACTACTGTTAAAAAAGAAATGAGAAACAAGTGGAAGATATTTTAGTAATATATTTTATTTAACTTAATTTATCCAAAATAGTATCATTTCAACATGTAATCAATATTTTTTAATTAACGAGATAGTTTACTTTCTTTTTTTTCATACTAAGACCTCAAAATCCAGTGTGTGTTTCATACTTACAGCACCTCCCAAGATAGACGACACACAGCTCACGTGCTTAATAGCCACAGGTGGCCGCTTGGGCACACAATACTCATTCACCCTAAGATAGAAAGCTAGTTGTGTGTACAGGTCAGGGTCAAAGAATTGGGCAGGGGACTCTTTACTTGCTCTGAAGGGCTCCAGGCAGGAGTGATTACACTGGGGCCACCCACCAGGGACAGCGCCACCTTCAGCTGATGTCAATACTGCTGATATGCTCACCTCCAGTATGGCTGTCAGAACCTGGGGCCAGGGGGCCTGGAAGAGGAGGCAATGGCAGAGGCAGATGAATGAGTCACCATGAAAGGAAAGGAGAAAGAAGACAGAAGCTGTGGAAGGAAGAAATAAAGTGAAGAAGGAAAGGAAAAAATGATGTGAAAGGAGAGAGGGATGGAAGAGGTGAGAGGAGAGACAACAGAGCAAGAGAAAGTTTGAACAGCACCAGAAAGGGCACCATGAGGTGTGGAAGGAGCTGGTGAGCAGGAACTCTGAGCACATGAGGAGTGGAAGGAGCTGGTGAGCAGGAACTCTGAGCCCATGAGGAGTGGAAGGAGCTGGTGAGCAGGAACTCTGAGCACAGGAGGAGTGGAAGGAGCTGGTGAGCAGGAACTCTGAGCACATGAGGAGTGGAAGGAGCTGGTGAGCAGGAGCCAGAGCCCGTGAGGAGTGGAAGGAGCTGGTGAGCAGGAAGTCTGAGCACATGAGGAGTGGAAGGAGCTGGTGAGCAGGAGCCAGAGCCCGTGAGGAGTGGAAGGAGCTGGTGAGCAGGAAGTCTGAGCACATGAGGAGTGGAAGGAGCTGGTGAGCAGGAACCAGAGCACACTCAATAAGGCATACGAGGAGAAAAAAGAGAAAGGGCCCCCTACACTCAGGGAGGCTTCTGTGGGCAACGAAGTCAGCCAGGCCTAGAAATGCAGTTCGTAAAAATCAAGTGCCTGGAAAAATCAACAGAGCAGCATCAAGAACAAATGCCATTTATGAAGTTGACAAAAGTAGACTACATTTTGCTTTATACCGACAAATTAACTTAGGTGATTCATCTACTTGAGCTGCTGGTAATGAGCTCCATGTGAAGACCTCACATACGGAGAAAATAATTGCTGGGCTGGTTTTTCATGAGTGAAGAAAAGACCTGCCCAAATGAAAACCAAGCTCCTCGTTCAAGTGACCAGCGTTTTTTTTTTTTTTCATTTTCCCTTTCCATAATTATTATTTTTCAGTGGACTCTGGGTTCAAGCTCCTCAGAAGATGTTTTCCTATTTCAAATACTGCAGCAAAAAAAAATATGTCGTGGCAGAACT